TCACTGTCAATTTTATAAATGTTATTCCATTTTTTGCATTTTTTTCTACTTACAGCAGGTTTTCTGCATGGGACTCCCCGTATGATAAACTCCTATGTATGGTTTTGTAAAAGTTCAGATTGTAAAAACATTATTTTATAAACATAAGCACTCTTCTTAAAAAGGTTAATATTATCCAACTTTTAATACTTTACTCACATATTTTTCTATTAATCCACCACTAAGGTATATTCGTAATGCATTACCCATTTTTTATACCTCCTCAGGTTTCTTCCTCTTGTGGGATTGGTTTTAGTACATTGTCATCGGTGCTTAGTAATCCAATACAGTTACTTTGCAAGCAATATGGCAACTAAGGCAAGTTGTCTACCAAGCAACTAAGGCAAGTTGCTTTTTCAGTGAGTTAACAGATCCTGTGATAGCTGATGGCTCCCATATCAGTGACGTGGGGAATCCACTCTGACATTTGACTTCTTTTTCTGTCTTACAAATTTAAACATTCCCTTTTGTAATTGTTCAAATGGCAAATCCATTGCCAAGACAAACACAATTTGAAATAAAAACATTTCTCTGACCAGTTTTCCCACACCATCAACAAATTCCTTCTGCTCCAAAAAAACTGTTCTCCATTCACTTCCATAAGTCAACACAGCACTTCTGAAACACTCTTCCCACTCTTTCCCCAACATCATCACAATTAATTACCCCCTTAACTTAAAAATTTACTTCATACATCAACTCAAGTTGGACTTCTTGTCACTTATAACTTCAATTGGACCACCCAGTTTCCCAGCCTTTTCAGTATTTTCTCACTTACAGATTGCCAGAAATAATGCATCTTGAGTCCACTTTAACTGCCCTGGCTTGGTGCTAGGGAATCATGGGAACTGCAATTTATTGTGGCACCAGAGCTCTCTGACAGAGAAGGCTCAGTGTCTCAGAAAAAAACTACAGTTCCCATGATTCCCTAGCACTGAGCCAGGGCAGTTAAAGTGGACTAAAGATGCATTATTTATGCCAGTCTGTAAAGGCCCCAAGTCTTGCTTCCCTGGGTACTTGCTTCACAACGTCTTTAAGTTCCTTAAATTCCTGTATCAAATCATCCTACAATCCTTCTTTCAATTGCAGAGTCACTTACATAAAAGCACATCCCATGCATCCAATCTCTTCCCATACGTTCTGTAAAATTTCTGGATAAGGATCTATCTTCCTGGATTCAGCCATTACAGAGTTGAACCACAGGAAATTTATTAATGACTTGGGTGAAGGAAAAGGGGGCATGCTTCTGAGATTTGCAAATGACACCAAATTAGAAGGGTTATCTAATATCCCAGAGGACAGGATCTGAATTCAAAATGACCTTAATAGATTACAAAGCTAGGTCAAAACTAACAAAATGAGTGTCAGAGACAAATGTAAGATACTACACTTAGGGTGAAAAAACAAAATGGACAGATATAGGATAGGGGACACTTGGCTTAACAAGACTACATGTGAAAGGAATCTAGGAGTCCTTGTAAACAAGCTGAACATGAATCAACAGTGTGATGCAGCAGTTAAAAAAGGCAATTCATCAATAGAAGTATAGTGTCTAGATCAGTGATGCTGAATCTTTTAGGGGCTGAATGCCCAAACTAAAAGGCCTTCTGGCACTGGGTGTTACCTAGTAATTGGGGTGGGACTTCTGCCCTCTGGGGACAGGACTTTCAGGGCAGGACTACTGCCCCCTGCCCTCCCGGGTCTTCAGCTACCTCTCCAGAGTCAGCTGTGAAGGCCCAAAGGGGTGAAGGGGGAAGAGGAGGAACAGTTGTGCACCTGTTCTTCCTCCCCCTCACCGTCCCCATCCTTCAGCTGCCTCTGGAGAGGCAGCTGGAGGCCAGGGAGCATCAGGAAGGAGGAGGAAGAGGCATGTGCCTGTTCGTCCTCCTCCCTCTGCACCATTCTCAGCCTTCAGTTGCCTCCAGAGAGGAAGCTGAAGGCCTGGGATGCCTGGGAAAGAGGAGGAACAGGCATGCACTTCTTCCTTCTCCTCCCCACTCTCTGTGTGCCAGAGGAAATGGCTTTGCATGTCATCCCTAGCACGCATGACATAGGTTCACCATCACAGATCTAGATCAAGGAAAGTAATAGTGCCACTCTATTCTGCTTTGATCAGGCCTCATGTAGAATACTGTGCCCAGTTCTGGGCATCACAATTCAAAAAGGATGTTGACAAGCTGAAGCATGTCCAGAGGAGGGCGACCAAAATAATGAAATGTCTGGAAACAATGCCCTAAGATGAGTGACTTAGGGAGCTGGGTATGTTTAGCCTGGAGAAGAGAAGATTAAGAAGTGATATGATAAAATATTTGAAAGGATGTCATATTGAGGATAGAGCCAGCTTGTTTACTGCTGCTCTAGAGACGAGGACATGGAGCAATGGATTCAAACTACAGGAAAAGAGATTCCACCTAAACATTAGGAAGAACTTCCTGACAGTAGGAGCTGATTGACTTGTAATTAGTGGAGTCTCACTTAACTAGCAGTATAAAAATGTACTTGCTATTGCTATAAAGGTAATTAAGAGAGTGGGGTTCAGAAATCTAGTGCCATTTACGGCTTGCTAAACAACCTAAGCTTGGTGGTCCTCTCATGGCTCCTCACTGCTTTAAGCTTGCTTTTGGCCATTGCTGTTCCAGCAGCTTCCTTGCAAGGAGAAAATGATCCTGAGCACTTGTGGACAATCCCTCTGTTCTCTTTCATGTCTGGAAAGAGTTCTGATGGCAAATTAATTGCTAATTATTTAGTTTAGCTGTATCTGCATCAGACCATGAAGCCAACATGTAAAATAGCTATATTCCACACTAGGGAGTGTGGCTAATTTTAGTAAGGATTCAAGACATACTGTACTTAGTTGGGCACCTCTCTCTGTGTGTGTGTTTCTCTCTTTCTCTATACACACATGGTTTTCATCCCTACAATTCCCACTGCAGGCGACATCAAAAATTTCTGGAATACCTGAAGGAACTCACAATTTTTGGCTGCTTTTCAGTCTAAAACTTGTAATTTCTAGGGTTAGGGGATTCTGAGCTGAAGCTAAAAACTGTCACATTCATGGCAATTTTTGACCGCTTTTGGCTTGTTTTCTGACCAAAATGATCACTGACAGTATCTCATTTTAAAAATATATTTTAAAATAAATATACTGTTTGTATATTTTTCAAGCAGAAAGTTTATCACACAAACAGGGAAATCAAAATTCTCTGCAGGTTTTACAATGGTGAGACAAATTTTGGTCTATTAGTTCTAGTAGACCACAAGTTGAACAAGAGTCAACAGTGTGATGCAGCAGCTAAAAAATCCAAAGTGATTCTAGGTGGCATGAATGGAAGTATAGTGTATAGATCAAGGGAAGTAATAGTGATAGTGCCACTCTATGCTGTTTGGCCAGGCATCACCTGAAATACTGTGTACAGTTCTGGGCATCACAATTCAAGAAGGATATTGAGAAGCTGTAGCCTGTCCAAAGGAGGGTGACTAAAATGGTGAAGGGTCTGGAAAACCATGCCTTATGAGGAGTTACTTCGGGAACTGGGTATGTTTAGCCTGGAGAAGAGATAGTTAAGAGGTGATATGATAGCCATGTATAAATATTTGAAGGGGTGTCATATTGAGGATGGAGTAAGCTTGTTTTTTATTGCTCCAGAGAATAGGCCCAGAACAATGGATGCAAGCTACAGGAAAAGAGATTCCACCTCAACATTAAGAAGAACTGCTGACAGTATGAGCTGTTCACCAGTGGAACACCCTCCCTCAGAATATGGTGGTAGAGTCTCCTTCTTAGGAGGTTTTTAAAGAGAGGCTTGATGGCCATCTGTTGGGAGTGCTTTGATTGTGTGTTCCTACATAGTAGGTAATTGGACTGGATGGCCCTTGGGGTCTCTTCCAATTTATGATTCTACTTATGGAAAAAAAACCCTTTCCTCATACGTATATTTTTAAGAAAATGATGGTGGGCACAATGAAAAGTTCTGCAGAATTTGCCACCCATTTATCTCTGACAGCAATACAGATGAATTCAGTCTGCCAGTTTCTCATGTAAATCTAGTGCATTAACAATTGGTACGTTAACAACTAACCTTTATATGTAACTTATTATAGCAGTGGGGAGAACATTGAAAATATAGGTTTCATATGGAAAGATTTTCTTTAATTTCTCACTGTATAGATTGGAATGGTATTTTATTACTTATCTGATAATGTTTTTTTCCTGTTTGTAATTATAAAATAAAACAAAATATGTAGAGGGGATTCAGGAAGCTGTGAGAGACTAGAAAGCTTCAGCCAGAGGGCACAAAAATTAACCAGAAGGAAGCTAAAATGAAATTTCCACACCTCACTCATTCCAAGCAAAAATCTGAATAGGGTGACATCTAGTCAGTCCAGAGCCTAGGTGGAGGTTTCTTATTATACCATGTGTGCATGTACATGTGTGTGTATAAGCAATAGGGATCATGTAACCTTCCAGATGCTGCTAGACTGAAAATTCTCACATTCTTCATGATTAGCTCTTTTGCCTAGCATAATGGTCATGTAGCACAATCAATACTTATGTCTGCATGCAGAAATTTATGAGACTCATCTCTGGTGTAGAACCTTGGCCAGTTTCTTTGTTGCTGCTATTTGCCATCAAGTTGGCTTTGACTTATGGTAACCTTGTACTGTCTTCCAGTTACCAATTATTATCATCCTTTCAAATAAGCCATGCTGTCTTATGTCCAAAGTACAAAACCTCAGTTTAGTCACCTAGTGAGACTTCAGACTTGTTTTGTTTTCATCGTTGTGTGTCTTCAAGTTGTTTCTGACTTACAGTGACCCTAAGTCCATATCATAAGGTTTTCCTGGCAAGATTTCCTGGCAAGTCCATATCATAAGGTTTTCCTGGCAAGAGGGAGTTTATCTTAGCCTTCCTCTGAAGCTGAGAGAGTGTTACTTGTCCAAGGTCATCCAGTGGGTTTCCATAGCTGAGTAGGGATTTGAACCCTGGTCTCCAGAGTCATAGTCTAATGCTTGAACCATTACACTACACTAGTTCTCTATTTTGTTCTAAGATTCATTTTGTTCTAGGACTGTCTTTTTGGCAATCCATACTATATATAGTACTTTCCTCCAGCACTGCATTTCAGATGAATGTATCATTTTCTTGGCAGCTTTCTTCACTGTCCACCTTCCACAACCATACATAGAAAGGACCTTAGCATAACTCAGGAGATGTCATAGTTGTATGAAGTCTGACTATGGGGACACAGTCATCTATCTTGGCAAATGGGCCCACTCTGGATAGAGTGCTTCAGTAGCTCTGAAATAGGTCAGGGGGTTATTAAATGTTTCAGCATAGCATAGTTCTGCATGTAAAGCTACTATAGTACACTGAGCTGTGCAGAATTTCAACCAATATATGAAAATTCAAACCCACATTCAGGTTTTTGCTTATATCTTGCCTTTTCTCCAAAGGATTCAAGAGAGTTTATTATTTATATATATATTAAACTATATTCATTTATTTATTGAGTTTTCCCAGTTATTATCCCACTTTTCTCCCATGGGTGAGATTCAAGGTGATTTTGAGATGACCCTTCTCTGAATTTTCATTGTCATCATGACCCAGTGTAGTAGGTCAAGCTGAGAGAGAGTGATTGATCCAAAAGCATCCAGGGAGCTTGATGCTGAGCAGGTATTTGCTTCTAGGTGTCAACATCCCTAGTCTAACCCTTAAACATCATGACTTTGTGAGTTTTCATGTGATGCAAAATAGAACAAACTGGCAAGGTGAGTTGAAGGACAAAGGTATGAAAATGAATCTTTCTTCAGCACATGGAAGCTCACCATGTACTTTGGAACCTTGGCTATTATTCAATTGTAGATAAGGTTCTCACTTCAGAAGCTTGCACTTCAGCTCATGGATGACTGCAATTTAGGTAAAAGTAATATGTGCCTCTAACTCTCTTATCATGTGAAAAAAATCTTAGGGGGAATGAAGACAAATGGCCCTAGGCCATCCTGGGAAGTGGAGGATTGGGGCTGAGGCTGCCCCACGTTCCATTCAGAGCCAGCAAAAAAGATGCCCCAAGAGCTGCTGCGCTGCTCTTCTGTGCCCCTTCCGGTGCAGCATGTCAAGACGCTGTGCTGGGAGGACGTTCTGATGCTGCGAGCCATGCGTAATGATGCATGGCATCAGAACATCCTCGGAGAGAGGTTGGGGCAGCCAGTGTGCAGCTGTTCCTCCCCATCCCTACCTTGAGGACGCTGCAAAGGGCCTGTCTGCAGAGGCCCTTAGAAAAGCTGGTTGGCCATGCTGGATGTGAGATTCTGGGAACTATAGTTATAAAAATAACTTTTCTAAGCTCTGATAGGGTACACATGGCTGACTAAACTAAAAAAAATTCTTCTTGCAAGGAATAAATTATTTTATTAATTCTTTGTGAGAGTTAGGAAACCCTGCATGCCTATGCTCATTAATTGATAGTTTGGCTAATTGCAAAACTTGTTTTTTCAACATCCCCTCTATTCCTGAATTACTTTAATTTAGTCATTTTTGTTGTTTCTCCTCCATTATACAATGTATTTGATTATGCACAAATAATTTGTACCTATAACCACATGATATGTCTTCCAAATAATATTAAGTATTCTTCTTCTACAAGACTCTGTAAGTTGATTGATGGGAGACTGATTATTGTTCAGCTTCTGCTTTGTCAATTTGATTACTCTGCCAGAGATCCCATATTATTTGTTGTATTTCCCAATACTCTTAAGTAACCAATCATTATGTTCTTAGTAAAGCTTACTTATTGATGTTTTTCCTTCTACACACCTAGTTTTTATTTAAGCTCATATATGCAAAGCATGCTTAGGCTGTGTGGAGATGATTCAAATAAAAGCAGAAGCACCTTTTGCTCAAACAAAAGTAATGGCAGTTTTACAGGGATCTGAAAATTACTGAGATTTACCATTGTAAGGCATATGTTGGACCCATTCTAGTGAGTCTTGAAAAATGACAGCTTTACCAATAAATAATAGAAATGTGGACAGAATTTGGTCATTAGTTAGAGGCACTAGGTAGTCTGAGATGTATTTATGTAGCTTTAAGAAATGGAAAAGTTCAGAAAAGTTTAGACATTTGCCAGTACTTAAGCTTTTTAGGCCTCTTTCCCACTATGATTTAAAGCGAATTGCTGATTAAGTTATATGATTGTTGTTCCCACTTGAAACTGGTTCTGATCCTATTGAGCATGGTTTCAATTGCAATGAAGTGAGGCAAACGCAAACAACAACAACAACAATGCTGTTTCCTGACACTAGTTTTTGGGTGGTTCTTTAGAAAAGAATCGATTCCGAAGCATGTTCAACAAGTGGGAATCATTCTGGAGGAGAGGGATTAATGGCAGAGGGGTATTTAGCATCCCTCCTCAGTTTTTAGGAAATCAGCCATTTTTTCTCCCCTCTCAGCACTGCCTTTGTGCTTGTGGTGTGACCTATGGGGGCATAATATATATATTTTTAAATAAAAAATTGACAGAATATGTGATTCATTGTATGTGCAACTGCTTGCAGTTATAGGTGGACTATGGCTCAGTGAGGCAAGTAGTTGCAAAACCAATGGAACTCATATCCTGTCTTTTCTTCTTTTTTAATATGTATATATTCCATTTCAGTGTCTTTGGCAGAATTATTACATCTCTGGTAGACAATTGGATAAAGTCTCAGAAGTGAAGTTGAGCGCTTCCCTGTCACATTTGAGCTAATTATAAATTCCCCAAAATTAGGTCTTTGTTTCCCAACACCTTACCCCAGAGTCATGAAGCATGAAATAGAGCACATATGAAATTGTTTTTGTACTCCTTGGTTTGGTGTTTTTGCATGTCTCTAATTATTCACAAAGATGTTTTAAATCACCCCCTCTCCCTTGCAGGCAAGTTATATCTTCAAACAAAAAAATACCAATCTGACACTATATACAATGATTTGACTTTGATGTTTGACCACATTATTATTCAAGATAGTTTTTAAAAAGAAAAAAAGCTATTCGCTGCTGTAATAAGTCATTTTCACTTTTAATATCAACCTCAGTTCATTTCTCTGTAAGGGCATTCTTGGGAGGAAAATATAATGATCTTATTTGTTCCTTCTGGAGATCAGATATGCAGGTAAAGAAAGCTATGATAGAGCAGTTAATTTTTTTATTCTAAAGCTTGGATTTTAAAAATCTTCAGGAAGCTATATAGTAAATTCTCTTAGATTTCTTTCTAAATGTTTACCTCCAGCTTGTGCCCTAAATTTTGTGTTCAGACTTGTCCTAATATTACCAGTGGGCTTTAAGATCTCTCTCCCCGCCTTCAAGTGATGTAGTATGTTTAAAATGCAGCAGCACTGTGGTGATATACTTGACATGCTCACTTACCTCCTAAAGGAATAGATTTCACTCTCACTTTTAAAATATCACTGGGTAAAGTATTTATGCTGAGCCCATGAAAGGGCAGAGAATTGTAAAATGCAGATATCCTCAGCCTTCACATAAGCACACTAGGGAAGGTCACCTACATTTCTGTGCTAGACATATTAAAATATAAAACCTCAAGGATCTGACATTCACTTGCTGGTAAATGATGGCCACTAGGTGGCAAAAGCACTCCTTCTGCTGTTCTAGATCTTTCTCCTGGTGTGGGCTGTAATTAGGTCACTGGAGGTAAAGTAGGACTGAGTGATAAATAAAGTAGGCTCTTTCTTCTTGAACAAGCAGCCGTTTAATTCCCCTTCTTTTTAGGATGTGTTACAAAGGTAGATTAAACTTTTAAAAGGGAGGGATGCACTCTCCCATAGGCTAAGAAACTTAAACTTGCTAAGGAATAACAATGGAAAGAAAGAGCAAAAAAATAATGGAGGAAGTAAGGGAGCAATTTCTTTTTAGTGACATTGATATCCTGTTTAGAATAACTCCATGGAGAAGAAGGGCTGCGAACTCTTGTTTGCCCTGCCACACGTTTAAACTGGCACACACCACTCTTTTTTCTGTCAGATTGTATTACAATAAAATCTGGCGAAATGCACACCACACATACACAGAGAGAGAGAGAGTGAGTTAAAGAGTTCACATCAATTTAGCCATGAAAAAAAAATCACCCAATATTTTCTGTCAGAACAAAGCATTTTGAGGAGCTACATCCCACTCACACACACACACATACACACACACTCCCAAAGATTTCCATATCCTCAGACAAATGCAAGCTGTTTCATGGTGGACATGTGCAAGTCACCTTGATTTTATTTAATGAAAGTAGTCAAAGAAGGCTAAGACTGAGTGAAAGAATACATAAATGCATAGTGAGTAACTGAATCGTTTCTCATTTTTTCCCACTCAGCATTGCCCTTCCCAAAATGCTGTCATATGCTCATGGGAGTGGGAAAAGATACAGTGATTGTCATCTTATTCTCTGTGAATAGAAAAACAGCTTGGAGAGAAATAGTCCATCACCTTTTTTTCCACTATACTTGCAGATCCATAGAGTGATTTAAGAGAGAGGAATGTTTTTCTTAGACAGAAGCCTGGAGTCTATTGGTTAGTTTGAGCTAATATAGATCTATTGAACACCTAGGCAAACCCCATTGATTTACTGGGTCCACTCTAATTGGAGCTAAGAATCCACAAATAGAATACCAATTGTCTCTGAGCCTTATTGTGTTAGCTAAGCTGTGCCAACACAGCAGAGATTTTAGGTCCCTACTTCATGCTGTCCACTGTTACTAGGGATACATGACAGCAATAAATGGTCATATGCTACCATTTACCTGAATATGTTTTAGAAAGACAAGCAGTGGATATGTTCTCCACAATGTCAGACCTTTCTGCAAACCTCAAGGAACCTAATGGACTTCTCTTTCTTGCTTTTTCCACCTTTGGTGCATGTGTCACTTTGCTAAGAGGAAAAGTGATGGTAGTACTGATCTGTCATACTAAGTTGCTTAAGCTTTAAGACTGCACAGTGTGACCTATCAAACCAAAAAGAATCCATGAGCCATGGATATAGTTTGC